GATTTTTATAAATATTTTAACATATATGTATTATAATAATAAGTATTTAATTAAATATATTTTTTTAATATTTAAACTTTGTATATTTAAATTTGATATCTTTATTTTTTAATAATAAAGTATCAGAAGTTAAAAAAAATAGATTATTTAAAAACTGTAATTTGAAAATAAAGAATTCTATTATTTTTTAATTACAATATTTTTTATATTTTATCTTTAAAGATTTTAATTTTTTAAAATAGTTAAAACATTAATATTTTAATAAAAATAATACATAATAAATGATATATTAATTATATAAATTTTTGGTTTTTTTAATTTATTATAAATTCATCATTAAGTTTTTTTTTCAAGAATCTTTTCAATAGATAAAGTTAAATCAATTCCATATTCTCTTTCTTTTGTACTTTTGACATGATAATATTATTAAAGTAAAACAATAAATCTGTTCAAGGCTATAGTAATGAACAAAAATGTACCATATAAATATATATCTTTTTAAGCTAAAAACATATCATTTAAAATTTAGTAATCTCTAGATGTAGTAGCATTATAATGAACAGAAATTTCAATATTATGTTATTATTTTAAATCATAAGAATACTTTATAGATGAGCTCCAAAGTAATAAAATCACAAAAATTAAAACTTTGTGATATTACAATATTTATGACATGGTATGGTTTGTGTCCAAAAAATATAAAAGCTTGTTTTTCCATCCTTTAGGTAAAGGAATTACAAACAATGCTCCTAAAAATAATTATAAAAATATGCAAAAAATTACAAACTATTAAATTGAAGGAATAAACATTTTTTGTTTTTATTTTATTATTATTAATAAATGTTTTTATTTTTAATTTATATATTATAATTATATATTATTTTTAATTTAATTTTAAGTATATATTTTTATTTGCTTTTTTTTTATTTTATTTTTTATATAAAAAATATAAGGTATTTTTATTTTTCTATTGAAACAAAATTTATATTATATATAATTTATTATATGTACTATTATATCTATTTATATTTTATTTATTTCATAAAATTTAATATTTTAGTATTTTAAATATAAAATATTTTTTATATTTAAAATATTAATTTTATTTTAGATTTAATATATTTAAAAGTATTTAATTATTTTATTATGATTAAATTAAGTAAAAAGAATAAGTATAAAATTAAAAAATTTAATTTATAAAAATGAATATTGATACATATGAATTATATACAAATTAATAAGTCAAATAAATTTCTCTTGTTTAACATAATGGTTCATAAAAAAAAGGATTTGAAGTCACAACAGTTTAAAATAATGAAAAAATATTAATAACAAGTTTACATGATAATTTAGAATTATTAGAATTTGTTATTCTCAAAAGCGACCCTAAATAAAATGATTATATTGGATATTCTGATTAATGGAAAGTTTAAAATACAATTGAAATATAAAATTTCACAATTTCTGATATTTAAAAATCTAGAAGAGAAAAAAAAAGCAATAATTTAACTTTAGATTGGTTTAAAAAAAATGAACATTTAGGGTATTTATATTTTTAATTATACTTATATTTTAATTTTCTTAAATTTAAGTTATAATTAATAATAACAATAGTAGTCTAATAATTTAAATAATATAATTTAGATATTATTAGATGAAAAAGATGCTTAAATTAATTAATTGAGACAAATTAATGGTTAATAATATAAAGAAATTATTAATTTTCAAGCTTAAATAAATTAATTATAAGAAGAAAAGAAATAAATAAGTGAATAATTGTAAAAAATAAATAATTTAAATTAAAATAAAGTAGAAATCTAAGAATAATAAGATAAAGATTAATAAAAAGTTGAAGAAAAAGATTTGGATTAAGGTTTATAAAAAAAATGAGAATAATATTAAATAATGAAAAAAAAAAAAAAAAGTTATTTAAAAAGATATAACAAAAATTATTTGTATTAATATTAATGTTTTAAAATTTTAAAAATATTTATATAAATATAAGAAAATAACATTTTATTAAAAAAATACTTAAACTTTATATTAAAATATTTTATCATTAATTTATAAAGAGTTAAAAAAAAAATTATTATATTTTTATGTCCACAATTTTAATTAACATAAAAAAAAATATTATAAAATTATGAATAGATAATAGTTATATATACATGTATATGTATTAGAGGAAGTATATTTAATTAAGTGTTAATAATAATAATCTATATAAATAAATAATTATAAAATAAAATGTTTATATATTAGATTATAAAATATTTATTTCATGTAAGAATATCTTCTAGAAAACCAAAAAACATGAATATGAAAAGCTACAAGCTTTACTATTAATTTAAAAAACATTTAAATTATTATAATATATTAGACATAATTATATGTATTTTATTATTAATTTTTTAATAAATTTTTTTTTTGAAAAATATTCTAATTGTGGAGTGAGCTAATTTTACCTGTATTCATAATATCTGCTTTTTTTAAGTTAATGGAATTATTCTAAGTAAATTTATTTGATTAATAAGTTTTTATTTTAAGCAGAGTATTTCTCATATGTTTTATGTAGTTATAAAAAGAAAAGGCCATGATCAATTTTTATCTACCTTTTTTATATATTATGTATTAAAATGTAATTTTTAATCGTATTCTTTTTATTAATTATTGATCATATCAAGATTATTAATTATTTTTTTAGTGATGCTTTTAATTATAAACATTTTTTTTTTTTAATTCTAGTAAAAACTTTTTAAAATTTTTATTTCATAACGATTATTTAAAATATTTATTTTTATATAAATTATTAATTACAAAAATTATTTTAAAGTAGTTTGTTTTAATTTTTTTATAAATACAAAATAATATTAGAAATTTAATATTTTTAATTAATTATTAAAGCAAAATTAATAACTATCATATGTTAAAAATAAAATATATAAATAAATTATAAAAAATATAATTTAATTTATGAAATATTAAACATAATATAATAAGAATAATGAATAAAAGTAAATAAATTAAAAAAAGATAATATATTTTATTTATTTATAATAAAATAAATAAAATTATTAAATATTAAAATAAATTATTTTTATTATTTATGATGAAATATTATTAAGAAATTACAATTTAAAATTTTTAATAACTTAGAAAATTTTAATAAATATAAAATAAAAATTAATTTAATATCAAAACACACTAAAAAAACATTAAATCGGCTATCAGTATTTTTTAGGCTTATAAAATTCATTAATTTATATAATTTTTCAATAATTAATATTTACTAAATATATTATTACGTAATACCTTTATTAGATTTTATAAAAGATTTTTTACTTTATATTAAATACTTTATAATAAATAAAATTTAATTATTTATTAAAATATATAAATGATTTAATATTATAAGATAATATAAATAATCATCTTAATTTAAATTAAGAAACATTATATTGGCATCAGTTAATTTATAAAAAAAAGAACAATACTAACTAACTTATTATAATAAAATAATACAAATTAATATTTATTTACTAACAAATATTAATAAAGAAATATTTATTCAAAATACATATAAATAAAATTTATATTTATTTATGTTTTCAAAAATATTAATAATAAATTTTTATTTAAATAAAAATAAAAAAAAATTAATATATTATAAAATTTTTAAAAATAGAAAAAAATAAATGAAGAAAATTGAGCATTTGAAAATAAATTAAATAAAAAGTAAATATTTTAATTATTATTTGATAATTATTTAATTGATATTTTTATATAATTGATTATATTTTTAAAAAAAAATCTTAAAATCTTTTATAAAAAAAAATGCATTTTGAAGAAATTTTGATTATTATTATTTATTTATATTCTATATAAAAAAATAAAAATAAAGAGTATAAAAATATTAAAATAATATATAATATATTTATAAAAATAACAGATTTTTATATATTATTATAAAAATATATATTTATTATAATTAAATTTTTATAAAAAAATATATTATTATATTTTTATGGTGTTTATATTAGTTTTTTATAAAGAAAAAATATTAAATAAATATCTTTATATAAATAAATGATATTTTTTTGTTTAATGATAATTATTAACTTTTATAGTAAAATATTGAATTATATTATATATATTTACTTTTATTAATATTTTAAACAATACATGTATAAATGATTTTTTTTTTATTGAAAACAAATATAAATTTATCAATTTAATTTAATTTCAGGAATACCAAAAAAAATAACATTATCTGTAATTAGCCTATTTTTAGGTACTTTAACTTCATTAATTTACATATCATCATCATTTAACAATATCTATTATATTTTTTATTTCGAACTCCCTTCAATCCATTTTTGCTTCTTAACATCAACTTCAGTACCATATCTATTGACATAAACAACTGAAGGTTCTTTGAATTTCTAGAAAGTAGACGCAAACGGCATTTTTTCGCATAAACAATTAAGAAAACAATCAACCATTTGCACGTAATACTTCGACTCGACAGCCCATTAAGTACAGGCAATAGAAGATACTCCAATAATTGACAAAAGTGCGCATTAATGAATAAATTATTCTAATAAAGGGGTTTTTTCGCCTTCAGGTTCTAAAGAAGAATATTTTTCGAGAATATTTTTTTAGCATTTATTTTATCTATAATCACGAAAACTTTAGTTTGGGAAATCTCGTTCATGTCAATAATTAATTTAGGTGTAATTATATTCATAAAAGCAGGATTTCCATAAAAAATAGTAAGGATCCTGTACTTAAATATTTCTGCCATTCTCCTATACTAGATATTCTATTACTAGATGAAACACCTTCCCATATAAAATTAGTTATTATTATTATTATTATTATTATTATTATTATTATTATTATTATTATTATTATTACTATTATTGTCTTTCATATTTTTTATTATTATAGGCTCAGCATCGTATTTATTTTATTAGAGATTTTCTTTTTAAAACTATAACATATATATTTTAAAGATTCCTTTTCAATACTTATTTTTGCTTGTTTTTTGTATCTTTTTCCTAGTTATATTAGTGAAAAATCTCGAGAAATTGACTATATTTATTTGAAAATATTTAATTGATTTATTGGTAGATTGAACAAAAAAACATCAAGTAATATTACACAAGATTTAATGTTGCAATATAGTTATTTTTTTTCTTCATTGTCATTGTAATTGAAATAATAATGTAATTCTTCATTGAAAAAAGCAAAAAATTTCTCTAAATCATTCAAAATCTTTAAATATTAGAGCTCTTAAACTCCTACTACGTTTTAAAAGTCTTTCTCATCTATAATAGGTGTTTTTATAAGGGTTGATTTTATCAGGTTGAGCCTCATTTTTATACTCTCAAGTAATTAAAAGTCATCTTAATGCATTGTTTTTCTCTTAACTTTATATATTATTGGTTGATTTTTTAACTATAGGCATAAAAAACCAGAATACAGATACCTTTTATCAGCAGAAAATTAAAATAAAACAAAAGCCGAATTATCAGGAAGTAGTTTTTTAGTAATAAATTCGAAATCTTCAAAATCAAAAAGTGCTTTCCATAAATTATTGTTAGAAGTCAATGCTTTAAAGGCTTCTTAATTTAAATTACCAGCTTGAATATATACAAGTTTAATTAGCCTTTAAAAAGTAATAAATTTATGCTTTCCTTAAAGGGCTTTTCTGACTATTTTTTCGACATATTAAGTATACATATTGTGTTGGAAATATACAAGAAATTCAAAAGCTTATTAAGGGTTTTTTTCTCCAATATTTTCAATGAATTCATTAAAAAATTTACAAGTATTAAGTAATGAAGATTTACTTTTATGAACTTCAAAAATCTCTTTTTTATAATTTTTATAAAAATCTTAAATATGATTTATTGAATCTTATTAAAGGTTTATCTAAACTTATTATTATTATTATTATTATTATTATTATTATTATTATTAAATGTTTTGTGATTATGTCATTTTCTCTTAACTTTTTTTTTTAAATAATGAATTAGTTTTACTTTTTTTTAACTCCTCTTCACTTTCTTATTATTATTTATTATTTTCATTTTTATTTTCTTCTTAATTATTAGTTTCCCATATTTATATATATTCATCTTTTTGAAATTCTGCCTTTATAATATTGTATATATTTATATATATTATAATATACATATTATATTACATTTAATCTTTTTGCCGAACATAAATAAATATTAGCAACTAAAAAAATATATGAGTTTTGAGAAATTTTAGGTATTAAAGATTCTAATATAAATTATGCTTTTTCGAAGTTTTTTAATTAATTAGGGATTGTGAAAATAAACATGTCTATTTTTTAGGTCAGTTTATTTAAATAAGAGACTAACATTTCTTTATTAGTTTAATTAACTGTATTTTATTAAGTATTTAATGGATTATTTTTATTTTCTTATAAATCTTCTTAATTGCTTTTAAATTTATTAATTTCATCTATTTCTTTTTATGATGATTTTAACGTTTTTTTAATTATTCCTCCCAGTATGTAAATCTATGAAAGCTAAATCCTTAATTTAATGTGCATTTACATTAAAGGAGTATTCACGAATTCGTGCATTTATTCAATTAAAAGTGCATATTTTAATATTATTTTTAATTCTTTATCTGTGAGTAATAAATAATACTCGATTTTGAATAATAAAGATGTGCATATTTATATGTCTTTTTTATTCCATAAATTAAGGTTTTCCATCCACTCTAGAGTTTTAGAAAATTAGTTTTGTAAAATTTTATAGTGAATCATCTTTAATCCGCCTTCCTTTATATATTTAAATGCCTCTCCCATAAATTAGAATGACTCTTTTTCGATTTCTTTAGTGTAATTATTTCTCATTAGTTTTAAATTTAACTTACTCTTAAGTAAGTTTAAAGTAGCTAATATTTAAAGTATATATAAAAGGTCAGATATTTAATTCTATTTATCTAAAACTCTGTTTATTTAATTTTTTTTTTTAATTTTTTTTTAAATTTTTTACTCTTTATATACTTCTATCATTCGGTTTAAAAAATTAAATATATCATCAGTTTTATTTAATTTTTTTAAGGTTTTAAAAGTCTCAAATGCGCTTAACTCCCTAATATTATAAATTAATTCATAATAATAAATTAAATAAATATATACCATATTTAAGTATCTTTAATACACTTGTGTGACATTTTATGATTTTATAAAGATTCAATATATTCTCCTTCTAAATAGCAAATCTAGCCTAAATATAAATAAATATATATATATATATATATATATATATATATATATATATATATTTATTTATTTACCTAAATATAAATATATTTCACCCATAGTTTCTTTTTCATATAAAATTTTTGCATGTTTTATAGCTTCATTTAATAGATATTTAGCTCTCAAAATATCCCCATTAAAGAAAAGTTCCTTTGCTAAATCTATCCAGATTTAATAATGTTAAATATCTTTAATTAAGTAAGGTTTTGGTATGATTTATTCACTTAAATCTACTGCTTTTTTAGTATTACTTAAAATTTTGGAAGATTCTGTTTTGGCAAGTAACAATTTCTTTTCATGTTCTGAAAGTTTAAGTTTAGTAAAATTAATATTTGAAACTATATTCTCCGCTTCTGAATGAAATCCTAACAAATGTAAAATTTTTGAAAATTTTAAGTCATATAAAATTGCTAAATTAGTCTAGCATAGTATTTCTCTTGCAAAAAATCTTAAAAACACCAATAAAGGAACACAATGAACATGTAAACCGACATTTTCAAAGTATTTTTAGAGTATATTTATATATGTGAAAGTCAATTCAGATTTTTCAAATAAAAATTTACCCATAAAATTATAATCTTCGTAGGTTTTTACTTTTTCAATAAATTCTTTAGAAAATTAAAGTCTTATCCATTCTTCGATATTTTAAGGAATATTGTATTTTGGAATAAAATCTTAGATTTCTTATTAATATTATTATTATTAATATTATTATTATTATTACTATTATTATTATTATTTATCTATTGAATCTTTTTTAATAAAATTTTATGTACTTTACATATTATTATTATCTATTTAATTTTATTATTTGCCTGTATTTGCATATTTGGCTGCATTTTCTTCCATTTAATTTAATGTTTTGAATGATATATCTATAATTTTTATCAAGAAAAGTTTCGCGTCTAGACAAAACTATATCTATTCTTCTTAATTAGAACTAATCATGGCTAACATTACATGAATTCTCATTAATCTCTCAAAATGTGCACAATTTAATACATCAGGGTTAGAATCTTCTTCTCTTTATGCGAAAATACTTTTACTTTATTTTGATTTGACTTTTTTAGTGACTCCAGTTGATGCTCTTGACATTCTAGAATTGGTTTGTTTTCCGGATCTATTTTTGTCTTTTACTTCTTGCCCTTTTTTAATTTATTTTTAGATGTTTTTATTCTATTTTTTTTATAAGGCTTGTTTTTGGATTTTTTTTAATTTATTATTATTGTTATTAATTAGATAATTATTATTATTATTAGTTTATAATATTTAAATAGAAAGTGATTTTTTCCCTTTCATTATTCTAGAAAATATTATTTATTCAATATCTTCTAATTCTTCTTCTTCATCATCATCTTCTTCGATTTCTATTTCTATTAAAATATCAGCAGCAGCATATAATTGATTTAGTATTTAATTTTTATCGTTTTCATTTCTTAAATACCATTCAGCGAATTCTATATAAACTTCAACTATTTCTACGGAATTCTCTTTTTTTAAAATTTCTATAGCTTTGTTATATGCCTAATATTATTTATAAATAGCATTGGATGCTCTAGCTAATCTAATCCAAACCTATAAAAATATTATATATATAATATATATAATATATATATATATATATATATATATATATATATATATATTAATGAAATTTTTCTATACTTTTGATTATAAAGATGCGTCAGCTTCTTTCATATTAGAAATTGCTTATAATTCGTTTTTACCTTACTTACTCATGAATATCATTTTAGCTTCCCAAATTGATTTCTGCATACTTTTTGGAATTAACTCAAATACCATATCTGCTACATTTTCCCCTAAATGATATTCCTCATTTTCCAAAGTTGCTTTAAATAAAAGCTAACTTAGTAATAAAATTAGATCTGGTTCGCTTTTTTCTTTACAGCTTTTAAGGTAAAAAATAATTGAAAAGATTGGTTTTATCAATGCTTTTCGATTAATTGCAGAATCTTATAATTTTGCGCAAATATTCCACACTAATTTTGAGGCATCTAATACAAGAGAATTAATATTAGCTTTAAGTCCTTTATTGGCTCCTTCTACGGCATGTTTTAGAGCATAAAAAAGTAATTTTTCCTGACTTTTTTATTCCTATGTTTCTGGATTTATCATTCTTAGTAAATTTTCACTATATAAATATTCAGCTAGCGAATACCATCTTAATCTTGATGAAGGAATACCTTATAAATCCGAATTCGGGTTTAATAAAGACAGTGAGTTTTCTACACATCTTAGTGAGTATTTGTACATTGTAATTGTTTCCTCATTTAGGGATAATCGCGCTAATCTTGCCCATAATTCGGCGTGAAGTTCTAGTTCAGTTTCATCGTTTTCTTTCGCATTCCATATTTTTAGCGTATCAAAGCATTTCTTAATTAGCTCTTGACTCTATTGAGAGTTGGTGCTATTAGTAATAATCTCTAACTACGAAACAACCTCAAATAGAACATGTTCAGTTGATGCACCGGAACTCTAGTCAGCCATTCCTCCTTTAGAAATCTTTCCACCCTTCTCATTGTCCTTAGTGCCTGTCTTAGCAGCCCCTGCGACTCTCGCTTTGATTGAATTGATTAATTTTCTAGTATGTGAACCTAAAGGAAGTTACAATAAAGCCTCACAAACCCTCATAACTTCATCATATTCATTTTTTCCTTCCATTAATCTTGCATAAACTAATCCAATATTAGCATTGACTTGAATTTTAGTATCCCTATCATAATCTATGATTTGTTTTTTTTCTAACTCCTTAAACGAGTTTTTCATGACTTCGAAAAATTCTTTTAATAAAACTGAAATTTCTGGAAGTAATTTTTGATCATTTATTGGATTTCGAAAAACACTCAAAAAATTATTCCAAATATAAATAGCGCCATTAAAAACTAGCCAACTTTAACAAATTGAATCTGCTAATTTTAGTCCTTTTAAAAAAAAATCAACTATTCCCCTTTTCTATGCTAAAATTTCTTCTTTTTTCTCAAAAGAGATTTCCTCTTGGATGTTTTCTTGTTCTTCTTCGTCATTTATTTTGAGTATTTCAGCAAAGGCGATTACATAGTTCTATTTAATTAAAAAGTCTATAGTTATTTAAGCCATAGTATAATAACATTAGACTTAAGCTAAGATCATTTCTTCCGCATTCTTAGTCTCCCAATTATCGCTAGTTACAAATTCACAGGCTTTCATAGCTAAATCATCTAATTCCCAATCGAAAGCTAATTATGCGATTTCTGCTGCAAGGAGTTTTTTTTATTTATACTAGTATAAATTTTTTTATTTATGGATAATTTTTTCTTTTAGAATCTCTTCTTCAACTAGATTTTTAGATTTGTCCAATATATATTATTCTTCTTTTAAATTTACTAGACTACCTAAGCATTTCTGTAAAATATCGATTTTCATGTTTTCACTTTTCGAGTTTTGAGCACTTTCTAGGTCTAAAATTACTTTTTCGATTACATTTTTAGGCTCCACGTTGTTTGAGTTTTATTTTAAGTTTATTGTAAATTATAGGCTTTTTAAATACCTTTCATAAGGCCTTTAATATAGAGATAAATCCTCGTCTTCTTCATATTTATATTTAACTTTACTAATAGGCATTGAATAATCTAATTTTAATGCTTTTTAAATATGCTCTCCAGCTTTAAACACACTATTTTCTTCTAAATCACTTTTCGCCAATTCTAAATGAAAATTGACCCGAAGTGCATGATCGTTTGATTGTATTTTTTCCAGAAAATCACAGGCGGATGTAAATGCAGTATATACATAGGCCCTATATGAGGAATTTAAAAAGGGAAGCCCCATATTCCATATAAGAACGGCTCCATCGTAAACTAAATCAGGGTCCAATTCTTTCATACCTTTACTTTCTATTGCGTGCATTGACTTTTCGAGAATTTTCAAGGCTTCAATTCTCCTATCGACTTCTTGCATTTTTATTTATACTGAATTTAATCGCATTCCTGTTTTATTGTCTATGAGAGATCCAGCTTTTTTAATCCTCAATTCAGCCTTATTATATTCTTAGAGAACATAAGATTTCTAAATAGGCTATCTTACTCTAGATAGGAAAGAAGTGATAGAATCCGCTATATTAATTAAATTATGATATAAGGCTATACGACCTGCTTCGGCTAATCTTTCAAGGATTATTGGAGGAAGTTTATTAGTTTAAGCCATTTCGTTTCCGGGAAGAATTGAACTATTCATTGAATTTATAACATTTATTAATTCCTTTTCGATCTAAGCTTCTGGAATTAAGCCGCTTTTCATCATTTATAAAGTTAAAAGCAGTTTTTAACCAGTATCATCTTCTTATTTGGGTAGCTATTCAGTTTCTTTTTTTATAGATTGGAGAAGAATAAGATTTTCTTTACACATATGAATTTTTAAACGGAATAGTTAATCTTAAAAATTACAACCACCGAATTTTTTCGTATTTTCCCAAAGCTTATCTAATACTTTTTAGGCTTCTATTTTTTAATCTGAATCATATAGACATTAAAAAAGAAGCCAAGTATACCTAATTAGATAAAATAATATATAAATTATATAAAAAAAAAATTATAAAATTAATATATATATATATATATATATATATTATATATATATATATATATATATATATATATATTTATATATATTTTATTTTTACCTACATCTCCAATTATAATCAGGTTCATTAACTTCATCAAAAAGATTGTCTAAAATTTGAACAACTTCTACAAAATGTTTACTCCAATTGACTTTTATATATGGCCTTATTATATTATATACACATACTGAAGCATTGTATATTAAAAAAGCATATTTATGTTTATCTGTATTTGATATAATATCTAACGCCTCATGTATATAATTTAAAGATTTTTATAAATTAATTATCATTTCTTCATCTTTTAGTAATAAATTATGACTATTAAAAGCTATTAAACGTGCTTTTACTAAAAGACCTCTTATATACATTTATCCTTTAGAATTTGTTTTTTGAAAAAAAAGATCAATGTAAAATTCACTTAATTCATATTGATTGGTTATTGTTAATACTGTTTCACAAAAATTTATTATAGTATCATATGAAAGGTTTATAAATGTATCGCGAATGTTTCGCTTCATTTTTTTATCCGCAGATATTATACATTCGTAACTTTTTTATTAGTCATCTTCTTCTTTACGATTTTTGTAAAATATTGACTCATTTATTAAATTAATTATTTCCATTTCATCACAGAAAGACATTTTTACTTAAAAATATTTTATTAATTTTTTATTCTTTTTTTTCTATTTAAAAAAAAAAAATATTTATAATTTTTTTTTAAAAAAAAACTAATTCTAATTTTTAATTGATTTAATAAAATATAAATATAAACAAATATTTATATTTAAAATATATATACATATATTATAATAATTAAAAAATATATAATATATATATATATATATATTTATATATATATATATATGTATTTCATTTATATTTTATTCTTATATTGAAATTTTATATTATTTTTATTATTCAATTATGTAATTTATATTATACTATTTATTATCTTTAAGAATCCTAATTTAGAAGAAATTTTAGTTTAATTATTTAGTTTTTTTATTTTCTACAATATTTTAATCTTCACTATTATTTAGAATTTTATTTTTTAAGATCATGTTAATTAATTTTAGTCAATTTTTTTTTTTCTTATTTATTAACTTTCTAATTTTTTTTCATTTAATATTATTTATATATTTATTTTATCTTCCATACTTATTATCCTATTATTTTATTTTTATTATATAATTTATGATAATCTTTATTCTTTTAATAAAACTCTTTACATTTTAACTTAAATTTATTTTTCTTTTTCTTATAATTTATTTAAATAAGTCTAAGAAGATTACGTAATACAAACACAATCCATTTATGTTTTCAGATTTTTTAATTTATATTAAAATCGAATAATTTTTTCATCTAATTCTTTCCCTTTTTGTATTTAATTTTCTTTTATTTTCTCCAAATCTTCAATACTCATTTAAAAAAAAAATATTCCTCTTCTTTTTTATTTCTTTTTATAATCTAGTACACTTTTACTCTAATAAAATTTTCTGATCCTAAATATTTTTATCATCTAATTTACTTAAATATTTTTTTTCTTCCTCAGATAAAGTTTTTCCTTCATTTAATCTTTAAAAGATATTAGTTCTTAGTTAATTTTGATCATATTTTTTCTCTCTTTTTTTTAAACTGATTTCCCATATATTAAAAATCTCTAATAATATTTTTAATTGTTAAATTTATTTCTAATGATCATTTATTTCAGTTAACAAAAAATTATTCCTATTAAATATACTTTAATATTCTTAATTATTATTTTTATTTAATAATTCTGAATGTTTTTATATATTAGTGTTTTTTAAATTTAATTAAAGCATTTTTTTTTTTTTAACATTTTTTTTTTTTTTAATTCTTACTTTAAATTGTTTTTTTTATATAGATTATTATTTTATTTTTTATAAAAAGTTTATATTAGAAATATATAGACTTTTATATTTTCATAAATAGTTTAAATTTTAACATATATTTTAAGTTTCAACTTTTGAATTATATAGTTAATTATTTCTAAAATAATTATTATCTTTTTATTTAGTGCAAACATCATATGATTTAGTCCTTTATCTATAATTATTTTTATTATTTAAAAGGCTATAACACTAATTATTTTAGAAGAAATCAGTAAAATGATTTTCTTAGATTTAATAATTAAATTCAATATTCTCTTTAATTTAATTTTTATATTATTCAATTTATTAATTAATATCTTTTTATTAATAATTTTTATAATTTTTTTTTTTTTACTATTAAATTTAAGACTTTAAAGATTTTATTTCATTTTCTTACTTTTTTTAATTAATAATATATATTAATATATATACAAAAAAAATATTACATCTTTTATTATAATTTATAAAAAATAGAATTATTTTTTAAATTCATTTAATAATTATTTTCAATGTAAGATATCTCTTATTCTAGATTTTACTAAATGAAAAATCGTAAATTTTAAAGATTATAAAATATTCTTTTACTTTTTATTTAATTTATAATTCAGTAATTTTTTCATTTAATTATTATATTTATTAATTCCTTTTTTCTAATAATAATTAATTTTCATTATTAATAATTTATATTCTAAATTCTTAAATAAAATAATTATATGAATAAATATTAAAATATACAATATTTTTATTAAAGTTAATCGACTTATTTTTTAAAATCTTAATTAACAAAATTTTAATTTACTTTAGGTTTATTTATGTTTTATATTCATTTAAACATAATTATTAGTTTTTTAAAAATAATTTAATTTCTAATTGTTCTATTTATTTATTTTTGTTTTCAATATTTTTATTATAACACTCTTATAATTCTATTATCTTTTTATTTTATATAAATAAGAAAAATTAAAATTGATAAAGAATTTACATATTTTTAATAATTTTATAATTTTTAAGTGAACAATAATAATTTTTATTTTAAATAATCTATTTCTTATTATTTTTAATTTAAAAAATTTTAATTCATTTTGCTATTTAATAAAATTTGCTCTAATTTATTATTTAATTATTCATTTGTTTAAATTAACTATTAAAATTAAAAATATTAAAATATATTTTAATTACTTTTTAATTATTAAAATATTAATATTTTATTAAAAAAGATTAAAGCATAATTTTTATTAAGAAATCTGTAATTTACTTTTAAAATAATATATATAAATAAACATATATATATATATTTATAAATATATATTTATATATATACATATATTTATATATATCAAATTATTATTTTTTATTAATTTTTATTATTACTTTTATTTCTTCTTTTCTTTCAAGTATTGTATTTTTTTTGTTAATTTTTATAATTGTTTTATTTATTTAATGCTAATTTATTTTATTCGGATTAATTATATAAATATTTCAATTAAAACATTGTTTTTATTATCTTTATTTTTACTAATATCATCAATATTTATCTATAAAAAATAAAATATTAATAAAATAATTCATTTTTTTTAACTTGGTTTATATTTTATTTATTTTTTTCAGACTTATTGTCACATATACTAACAGTTTTATGAATATCTTTTTTATATATATAATGTTATATTATTTATTTTTTATACTTTTTATATTAAAATAAAATTAAAATATATATTTTATAAGAACATATTTATTTATTAATAAACCTTTTTCTTAAACAAAATATTTACATTAAAATATTTAAGAAATATCTATTTAATTATTATTATTATTATTATTTATATTATTAGAAATAAAATTATGTATATTTTAATCTCTAATATGATTATTTAATTTATTTATATTTTTCATGTTTAATTTTAAACAGTAATTTTTTATTTTTTTTAAATATATATATTATATTTTAATAAATGTTATATATAAATATATATATATATATATATATATATATATATATTTTTTTTTTTCATTATTATTAAAAATATTATTATTTCTATTATCAAAATAATTAAGTGATAATTTTTATAAAAAAATATGTTTTTATATATATATATACATTTTAATAAATAAAATTATTTAAATTTTTTTAGTTATATTTTCTAACAATGTCAAAAAATACAATTAATACAAAAAAAAAAAATGTCCCAGATTCAAGAGATACTCTAAACATAACATTAGATCAAAAAAAAAGTAAAAATGGATCATTATTAAAGCTATAATCAAAACGAAATTTAAGTTTTAAATCGATTTAAAAAAGCTAAAAAAGCTAAAAAAGCCAAAAAAGTTTAAAAAGTTAAAAAAATTAAAAATCAAAATCTCCTTCTATCAAAAACAATTTTTAAAAAAAGTAATTAATAAAATTTTTCAAATAAAAATATAAATATAAAATAGGAAATAAAATACAAAATCTTCAAATTAACTTTAATCTAATTAAAAATTTAACAATTAATCAAATATAACAAATAAAAAAACAAATCAATAATAAAAGATAATCTATCATTAAATAAAAGCAGCATAACACAAAATTTAAGTAATTATAAAAGTTCTAAAAATGATCAAAATAACAAATCTTAGATAAGAAAAAAGAGTCTTTCAGCTTCTTTTAAAAAATCTAATTAATTCGAGAATAAAAACATAATTTAATCCGAAAATAAATAAATGTTGAAAAATAAAAAAGCTTAAGATTATTCTAGCAACTTTGATGAGGAAGAGAACTTTGATTTAATTGTTTTACCTTAAGGATATGAAAACCAAGATTTAAATAGTACTAAATTTAATGAAAACGAATAATATTAAGAAATATAAAATTGGAAGAAAGAAAAAATTGAGTTTGAATTTAAGTGTTTATTTCATAAATCGAAAAAAATAAACTAAAAATTAAAAACGGAAATCGAAAAAAATACATAACTTTAAGTTTAAATTATTGAAAAAGAAAGTTTATTAAATTAATTTAAAGAAAAATACAAAAAATATAAAAAATATGTAAAAGAATTTAAATCTTAAATTGAATAATAATAAGAAAAAGTACTTTTTTTTTTTTTGAATTATTTATTATATTTTTTTTCCTTTTTTTAATTAGTTATAAAATTATTAAAATATTGAGTTATAATTAATAAATTATCAAAAAAATAACTAATAATTAGAAAATTAAATGAATTTAAATTAAAGGGAATATGAAATTAATTTTGATAAAATTAAAGAAGAAAATGAAATATTTAACTAATAAATTTAATAACTATAATAAAATGAATAATAATATATTTAATAAATATAAGATTTTAATGAATTATGTTAAAAATAATATTAAGATTAAGAATAATCAGAAGGTATTTATTTATTATCTTTTTTTTTTATCTATATATAAAAAGAAAAATAAATAAATAAAAAAAAAGAAAAATAAAATGAATTTAAATAAAGTATAAAATTAATGTAAAAATAAATTTTCGAAATGCAAAATAAATAATAAAATGAAATTTAAAATTTTTAATTAAAAGAGACACAATAAAACTATATTATAAATTAAATGGAAAACTAAAAAAGCTCCCTTTTATAAAAATTAGATTAAATTTAAAATATAGATGAATAATTAACTAAGTAAAAATATTAAAAAATATTATTTTATATATATATATGTATTATTTTAAAATCTTTTTAAGAAAAATCATATACTTTAAAGTGAAAATGAATAATAAAATTTAATAATTGAAAAACAAAATGAAGAATTTCAAATTTTAGAAATGAAAAATAAATAAAATTAAGAATAAATTTAATTATAAAAGAAAAAAATAAAAACTTTAAAAAGTAAAATAAACGAACTTGAGGATTAAATACTTTAACTTAAAGAATAAAATTTATAAAAATAATATATTTTATAAAATAATATAAATACTTAATTAGAAAGTTAAAATAAAGTAGATTTAAACTAAGAACTTATGAAATATAAATAGGAGAATATTCGATTAGATTTAGAAAATTAAGAATTAAAAAAAATTGTGGAAAAAAACTGTTAATTAAATGAATAAAATAATTAGCAATATATAAAACAAATTTAATAATAATAAATTTTGAGTGAGTAATAAATTTCTTAATTGCAAAAATAAATTTCTGATTTAAAAATTATTTAATAAGAACAAGAAAATAGTATTTTTAAAAAAAACTAATAATTATAAAGACAAGAAGATAAATAAAGTTAAATTATTTTTAATTTATAGTAAAATATAAGAAATTTGGAAGAAATTTAAATTGATTTAAAAAAATAATTAAATGAAAAAAATAATGCACTTTAAGAAATTTAACTTAAAAATAATTTTAATGATGTTTAAGTATTTTATATATTTAATTTTTTATTTAACATTTTAATAAAAATATAAATAGAATTAAAGTAAATTATAAGAAAAAATAAAATATGAGGATAAAATTAATAGTTTAGAAGAATAAATAAATAACTATGTTTCTTAAATTTAAAATTTGAAAATAGATTTAGAACAATAATAAAATAAAAATTCTGATTTAATTTATAGTAATTAAATATTAAGAGATAAATATAAATTAGCATAGTATGAAAATAAGAATACTGATAAATAAAATAATTTTGAATATAAAAATTTTTAAATTAATAATAAAAAATAAAAAATTTAAAATAAAATACAAGTAAAAACTAAATATATAATTCAATATTTTAATTTTAAAAAATATATAAAAGGCATTAAATGATATAAAACATTTAATTAGAGAACATAAAAATTAACTAAAAGATATTAAAAATATTAAATTATTTTGAAAAAATATTATTTTATAAATTTATTTATTAACTAATAAATAGTATTTAATATAAAGTATATATGATAGTATATATATATATATATATATATATATATATATATATATATATATATATATTATAGATATGCATATATATATATATTATTAATATATTTGATTTTCAATAATTCTCTTTTCTTTAATACATTATAATAATAATAAATATTTTGTTTGCGTTTATATTAATATAAATTATTTAAACAATACAAAAAAAAATCAGTTTTTAGTATTTTTATTTTTAAAGTTATTATTTTAGTTTTTATCTCCTTTATAAATAAGTTTAAAACCACCCGTATCTACTAATTTTTTAGTCCCTTTCTTTGCCATAGAGTAATCTACAACAACCTTAACTGTGTCTTTTAAGACTCTTTATACAAGATCTTTTGTAATTGAAGTACTATAATCCATAGAAGGAGAACTATTTATTTCTATAAGCCAAGGCTAATATTAGGAGTCAATCATGAAATCATATCCAACTAATTCCATGGAATTTTTTCTACCAGAAACTTGATCTTGACAAGATTTTAATGAATAAATTATTATTTATTTAAGTTTTGGTTATATTTAATTAAAGAATATATCTTCACCATTATTTTATTCCTATTTTTTTAAGAATAAAATAAAATAAAAAAATAATATATTTATAACTTTAAGATATTCAGCAAATTAATATTGCCTCCACATCAATTCATCTTTATCTAAATCTCCATCTTTATTAAATTTTTAAATTGCATTATTAGTTAAATGGACAAATCTAATAAAAAACAATTATTAATATATAATATATATATATATATATATATATATATATTTATAATTATTACCTATTATTTAAATCATCTATATTATGATCAACTGAACAAAATCTTAAATAACATTCGTCATAAAACCAAATTTTTAAAGGACAATAATCTTATATTATAGCCCATTGTCTAACATCAAATTTCTTATTTTTTAATAAAAATTTATTCAAATTTACTTTATATTAAGTTACTTTGTTAGATATTAATAGAGGTCTTTCTATATATTTTTAAACAACAAATTAAGTTTCTTTACCCACTATATAATCAAAGATTTTATCTAAATTATTAAAGCATTTGATTCCTCTTCCTCGAGATAAAACTATTGATTTATTTTTTAATAAAAAAATAAATATAGCTTACAATTAGGTTTAACTATCCATATATTTCGATCTCCATTAATATTATATTAAGGGTTTTTTTTTATAATTAATTTAATGTTTCATTACATAGATTATATAAGATTTTTATTTTTTATTTAGTATTTAATTCGATATTATTATTATTATTATTATTATTATTATTATTATTATTATTATTATTTTTATTATTATTTTATATTTATTTTTATCTCAATTTTTCTATAAGTATTTCTACTCTATCTTATTCTATTTGAAAATTTGGTTTACATAAAATTTCCCATTCTTCACTATTTATACAAGGAAATATTTCTTAATTCTTTTTATTTAAAAAAAAGAAAGTTATAATATATATTAAAAAAATATGGCGAAAAAATATTATAAATACATAAATAATATCTATTTAAGAAAAAAAATCAATAAATTATCTTTAAATTATATCATTTGTAAGTCTTATTCTTAATTCAATATTTTCATCTAATAATATTTCTGTATTTTAAAGCATTTCTTAGAATTTATGTATTAAACTTTCTGCCTTATTTTTATTAAAAAATAGAATTTTTTATTTATATTTTTTTTTTTAAAATAAAAATTACTTTTGTAAATTTAAAATTCTCTATAAAATCTTCGAATTCTTATAAATCTCCTAAATCAAAAGATCTTGGAAAAAAAGTATAGGCATCAATATTTTCTTAATGTATTAAAGTTTTTAAGCTTCTACCTATTCCATATTTACTTGTAAAGGCAGAGTTATTATCGAAATGATTCACATATTAAAAATCATATAAATTATTATAATCAATATCACTTACCTTTATTTAGAAAATAATATGATTTATTTCTTTAAATATGATGTATTTATATTTATTATACTTTAGTTGTCCATTTAAAATCAAAACATGGGGAAAAATAGTCTGTATTTTCAACCCAATCTCTTTCTTTTAAAGCTTTTTTGAGATCTTAATATCCTCCTTTAAGAATGAAAACTTTTTGTTTTTGGTCAATTTTATTTGCTTTTTTCCATTTTGTTAAATCAGTTATTTAATTTTATTAATATATTTATGATTATTATTTTTATTTTGGTTCATCATCTGAACTTTCACATTCTTCTTTTGATTTATAATTTTATAATTAGACTTTATATTATGAAATTTAATTTAATCTTTTTTTAACATCATAATTTATAGATTTTAATTGTGCTGAATGTAAAAAGTTAAATCTTTTTTTTTATTTTTTTTAGTTTAATTTTTGTTAAAATATTTTTTTACTTTTCTCTATATTTATATTTTCCTTTAGTTGTTAATGTTTTTATTAATTTTTGAATAACGTTTTTTATATTATTTAAATTTTTTTTCTAATATGTTTTTTTTGTTTTTATTTTTAAATAAAAAATAAAATTACATTAAATTCATTAATTTCAAAAAAAGTCCTTATTTATTTTTTGTTATTTAAGTTATGCAAATAAACATCTTTTTTTCCAACAATATTTAAAACTTACATAATATTATATCTAAAATATCTAACACATTTTAATTTTTCATCTTCCGAAAAATCTATTTTATTATTACTTACTTAAGATTTAAATAAATTAATATTTTTTTCTTAATATTTTATTTATTATTTAAGTTATTTGTCCTATATTTTTGCATTTTAAATGTTTTTTTTTAATTTACTAATTTTTTAAGCCTTTTTTTTAATAATATATATATGTATAATATATATATGTATATATATATATATTATATATATTTATTTATTTATTTATTTAATTTTTTTTTATTTATATATTTATTTTTTAAAAATAAATTTTATTTTACTTATCTTTAAATTTCAGATTGGTTTTAATTAGTATTATTTATTTAACTTACTTGATTGTAAATATCGCTTTATTACATTATTTTATCTTATTATTATAAGTCTTGTTTTTTATAAACAAATAACTGTTTTTAATCTTTTTATAAATAAAGATTTTCAAAATCCTGATCTTATTCGAAATTGTTTTTTATTCTCAATTTATTTTTTTAAATATTATTATTTTATTCATTAGAAATTTCAAGATATTCGTTTATATTATTTTAAGAGATTTATTATTGTTTTGCAGCTAACTAATAAAATGCAGGAATCAATAAATTTTCGGTTAATTGGCCTTATGTTTAATCATTTTAATTACATTTATTTATCATATTTTATTTTATAACTTGTAATTTATTTTAATAAGATAATTTAAATTAATGTAAATGTTTATTTTTATGCAATAATTATTTTGACATACTTTTATTATTATTATATATATTGCTATTTTAATTAGGATAATTTTCATGTTCCTTTTTTTAAATACTTTACTTTTTTCCACTTTAATTATATTTATTATACTTTATTGGGTCTAATTCATTTATATTCATAGTTTAGCCTTATATGTCAATATCTATAAACTGCATATTTTTTTTTAAAGAAATGTATGTTTTTTATTTTAATTGTTATAATATTATTATTAATTTTTTTTTTAATATAAAAATAAAATATTTGAAATAAATACATTTTTCAATATAAAAATTTTATTAATTAAAATTATTTGATATATTTCAATATTTTTTTTATTTATTTTTAATTTTTATATTTTTATAATTTTTAATTTACATATTTTTTATTTTTGTAAATAAAGCTTTATATATTAATATTAAAAAAACGAATAAATTTTAATGTAAATAGAAAGAAAAATATTTTAATAAATATATAAATAAAAATTGTTTTCATTATTAAAACAAAGCCAAATAAATAATCAGAGAAACTTTATTATCTTATTAAATATATTTTTTATTAATAATTTTGATATATAATTCTTTAATTTATAAATTTAAATGAAAAATGATTTTAAGATTTTTTTTTATTCAAAATTAAAATAGATAATATTTTAACTTAATTTTTATTAAATTTAGAATAAAATATAAACTTAAAAATATAAAATTATTTTTTATAATTATTTAATATTTTAATTATGAATAACTGATTGAATATGTTTCTATAGTAATTTTTTATATCGTATCTTTAATTTATTATCATTAGATATTAATTATTATTTTATGTGTTTTAATATATACTTTTATTAAATTTGTATAAAATAAATTAAATCGATTTTAGTAATTATATTTCTCTTTTTTTTAAATTTCTTTTTATTCATAATATTTTTATTTTCTTTTAATATCTATTTATTAATTTTTAAAATATTTACTTATAATTTTTATAATTTTAATCTATATTCATACTTTATTAAATTTCAAATAATAATAAAAAAATATTTAAATTCATTATATTTTAAATACAAATTTAATGTAAAATAAAAATATATATATATAAAAAAAAAAAAAATTATATGAATAAAAATATATTTTATATTGTTTAATAAAACTTAATTAAATTTATAGATTTTAGCAATATGTTTAAAATAATAAGAATTTTTTAAAAAAATATATGTAATAAAAATTTTTAATTTACTCGTAATTTATATTAAATATAATATATTAAATTAAAAATATGAAATAATAAATTAATGTTTAATTATAATTTTATAAATATATTTTATATTTACATTTTGTCTATATTTGTTTATATAATTATAAATTTAATAAAAGAAATGCTAAATTATAATTGAAAATTAGTATGAATGCATTTAAACGCAAACAAAAATAAATTTAAATAAATTAATTTATTATCTAATAAAATTTAAAATTAATAAAAAATATACATTAAATATTATTAAAAACATATAAAAACCTTAAAGATATTAAAAAGATTTAATAAATAAATATTAATATATATATATATATATATATATATTTAAATATATATTACATAAATATATATTTTTTCATTTTTGTTTTTATTTTAATATATTAACTTATAAATTTATAAAAATATATTTTTTGTTATATTTTATTATTATTTTAAAAAAATATTAATAATTAAAAGAAAAATGAAAAAAGTAGAAAAATAGTAAAAAATTACTTAATTTTTAACAATTAATTAGAGTAATAATAAAATTTTAAAATCGTTTTAAAACTAAAATTAAATTCAAAATGTATAAAATACTTAAAAATTTCCATAAATAAGCTCAATTTAAGATGATAAAAATGATATTTAAAAAAAATAATTATAAAATGAAATTATTAATAAAGAATAAATTTAGAAAAAAGATGAAGAAAATAATTAAGAAGAATTAACTGATGTAGAAGATGAAAATTTTATAGATTAAACAATAAGATAGGAAAGTTTTTATTAATATCCTCATTTTTAGAAAAATATATGGTTATAAAAAAAAAGCATTCTCTCCTTTTTTATTCAATAACGATAAAATTTAACATCTTCAGATTTTTATAAAAATCTTCTCGGATTAATCCATATTTAACACCCTTAACAAGATATAATGAACTTAAAATAATTCTTAGATTAAAATTAAGGCTAAAAAGACTTTTATTTGTAAGATTTAATTCCTTTTATAGCACAGTTAGCTTTAAAAATTGAATAAATACCACAAATAATATTCTTATAAGCATATAAAAAAAACTAAATAACATTAAATAGGCTTTAAGTGGCTGTAATAATAGCAAATATGTTTTTTTGTACATTAATACCTTAAGAAAAGAAGTATAATTTGCCAAATACATATAATCTTAACACTTTATACAAAAGCACATATCAAAATAATAGAAAAATTTAAAAAATAAAATGCATTTTTAATTATTTTTCTTTAATAAAAAAAACACAAGAAAAAACACTAGAAAATGAAAAAATAGAATATATTCGTTTATATAACTAAAATTATATAAACGCAAGAAGTTTAATTGAAAATTAATAAAAACTTAAAAAAATATATATTTAAAAAAATAACAAAAATATTGAAGATATAAAAAATTCAATATAAATAGATTTTGCAAATAAATACATAGGTAAAAATAAATATAAATAAATATTATAAAATATATATAAATAATATTTAATTAAATAAAAAAATATATATAATATAAATAAGTATTAATAAAATTATATATAAGTATTTAAATATATATATATATATATAAATATATTTATTTATATATATTTATATATTTATTTTAATTTATATATTATTATTTTTTTATATAGGAGGAGGTGTTTTAGATACAGGATTAGTTCAGGAAGAAATAAGATTCGTTATTAGTCCTGAATTGCTTATTTTGAGACTTTTTAGTTTTAAAATAGAAGATTAAGAGGCTATTTTAGTATCTGGTATTGATACATATTCAATTTATAGGGGTTATTCGAACACTTTTGAATGCTTAGGTGAAAATAAAAATAGAAAAAATGATATTTTAGTCGCAATAGATGCCTTAAATTTCTCTTAGTCATATGATAGTGGTATATAATATAGAATTAATGTCTTATTAAGGGAAATAAATAAAGCTTTTGTAGGTTTTTAGGCTCCTTAAGTACCTTTAGATGTTCCAATAAGTACAGGAAGGTGGGGTTGTGGGGCTTTTTAGGGAGATTCTTAATTAAAATTAGTGATTTAATGGATTGCATGTAGTTTAGTGGGAAGAGAAATGTATTTTTTTCCATATATGGATTGCTTGTTATTAAATATAGAAGAAATTATTGAGAAAATAAAAGATTTTAATATTGGAGAATTATTTAAAATTGTTTAATAGTTTTGTTTATAAATCGGAAAAAATGAAAAAATAAAACTTTTTGATTATATACTAAATTAATTATAAAAATGAGAAAAAAAAATTATATATAAATCATTTAAATGAATTATTAAAAAAAGTAAAGCAACATAAACTTAAAATTAAAAAAAATATAAGAAAAATATATCCAAAAATCCTAATTTTTTTTTCATAATTTCCGTTTTAAATGCCTTCTGGAAAAGCCATTCCTGAAAAAAAACCAGTTATAAATCCACCAAATTAAATAATTGTATCAATATTAAATTTATTATTTCCAAATAAATAAATAATTAATAAAAAAATTATTATATATACTATCATTTGATTTCTTCCTTATATATTTTCTAAAGCTTTCCAATTTAATACAAAATAAGATAATAAACATGCAATAATACCATATATACAAGCTTAGGGTCCTCCTGTTATTTAAAAAGGATTTTAATAGTTTAAAGCGAACAAATTACCACCTATACCAGAAATTATATATATAATTAAAGTAGGGAAAAAGTTAAATGAATATTCGATTGTTGAAACGAAAATTAATATAGAAAGCGAATTAAAAAATAAATGCATAAAATTTGTATGTAAGAATTAAGAAATGAATAGTCTATGATATTAATAGTCAATTTTTATCTTATAAGGATAAATTGAGTACATTTAATCAAGAGTTTCAAATGGAATTTAAAGAAATGTACCTGATTTTTAAATACCTTTTATGTTTATTTCGGTTATAAATATAATAGTGTTTAGAACTAGTAATAAAGTTGTTAAAGATTTGACTTTATATTAAGGAAAAATATTAGATTTTAACATATACATAAAAGATTCTTAATTAGGATGTATAATATCATCTTAAGAGGGTAAGGCTTAAAAAAATAAATATAAAAATATATATGTATATATATAATAATATATATATATATATATTTATTTTATATTTTTTTACAAAAAAATGGAATTTTCGCTTAGTTTATTACACTATCATTTTAAATGTTAAATGATTATATATTATAAATGTTTTCATTATTTTAGTTGTTTTAATTGTTTCTTAAATCTTAAAATCCTTGTATATTTGCCATTTTTTTTTCTTATATATTCAATATTTTTTTTTTTTTATTTGATATTTATTTTTAATTATTATTTTTTTAATAAAAAATATTTTTATTTTTAATTTTTTTTTCTTTTTTAATTTTAATTTTAAGTTTTTTTTTATTTATTAAAAACAAATGTTTTTATTTGTTACTATAAATAATAATTAAATATTTTTAATTATTTCTAGAAAAAGAGTACAAACATAATATAAAATTATTAAATAAAAAATAACAATTAAATAAAAACAATAAAATGTCATAATAATAATAAACAAGACCTTTTATTTAATAAATTAATTTAAGTAAATAAATAAATATTTTTTAAAAATTGAAAAAATAAAGCAAATTCCGAAATTAGAAAAAACCTTCTTGTAGTTAGTAGTTTTTTATATACATTAACAAAATCAAATTCTAAAACCGATTAAGAATTTTATAAAAAATATGAAGTTTATGATGTACTTAATAAGAAAAAAATAGGCAAAAATAATTATATGTTTTTTATAAAAAAACAAGTAATTAATGCTTTAATATAAAAGATGGGGACGTTTAGGTCAACTTTCAGTTTTTTGTTTATATTCAACTTATTGTTTAAAAGGAAAAATTATATTTTTTAAACTTACAGGCGGATTTATATATGGTTTTTGGTAAATATAAAAATAATTTTATATATAATTTAATATTAATTATAATTTAAAGGATTCAACATTTTTATACTTTAGGTTCTTATATAGGAATTTCTTACAAGCTTCCTTGTTTATTTTTATAGATATAATTATATATATATATATATATATATATATATATATATATATTTATATATATATATATATATATATATATTATTTTTATATTTAAAAGGGGCTTTAAATTAATTAGATATGGGAGAATAATATGAAACAACGAGTCAATTAAGAAACTTTTTAGTAAAACTAAAAGAAAGAGAAGATTCTTACTAAAGGGGAGAATAAATAATATCTGATAATGAATTAGTAGAAAAGTTTTATGAAGATTAACTTGGAGAAGATAGTGCCAAAGAAATATTTAATAAAAGCTATTTAGTAGATGATTATTGGGAAAAAAATTTATAAAAATATACCAAAACTTCTGAAAACGATAAAGATCCTTTACATATTTTTCATAATAAATCATATTATGATTAATAATTAAGACTTAAGTACTGTGATACTTTTATTACAAGGTATATATATCATTCTTTTGCAAGATATTTTAAAAAAGCAGGCTATGTTTTAGGGTTAACAAATTAATTTTGAAAAATTAAAAAAAATATATTAATTTTGTTTTTATTTATAATAATAAAAAATATAAAAAAAATAAAAAACAAATATATATATATTTAAAATTTTTATATATATATATATATATATATATTTTAAAAAATTTTATATATTAATTAATATAAATAAGATATATATTTTTATATTATAATAAAATACTTAAAAATTTTAAAAAATAATATATATAAATTAATAAAGATTTTATCAAATAAAAGCCGGTTTTATATTATTAATTTTAATTATATTATTATTGGTATTTTTTTTTTTAATAGCCACTCCTTCACACATTAAATTAAGTCCCGCATTATTTTTTTCGATTAATTATTTTCCCTAAAATATTTTCTTAAACCCACCTGTATCAATATTTTTTTTTATTTTTTTATTTTTTTCCATCCCATAATCAATAACTACCTTAATTATATCATCTGACACTTCCTTAACTAATTTTTCGGTTACATCAGTACTATATTCCATACAGGGTGAAGAATTAATTTCAATAAGCCAAACATTATATAAATCATCAACCATAAAATCATATCCATACATTTCAATTGTATTCTTTCTCTATTCTACATTATCTTAAACACTTTTCATAGAACGAATTATCGCGTTAGTAATTTAATGTTCTATTTTTTCAGAAAAACATTGTTTTTTCTTTCTCCAACAAATAATTAATAAATTCCTCTTTAGTATACATATTTCCTTTATCATAAATTTCGTCTTTTTCTTCCCTTTCTTTTAATCTAGAAATCATATTATTTGTTAAATGAGTAAATTTATTCTGTAAATTATTAGTGTCATAATCATCGCAACTAAATCTAACATAACAGTTTGTATATTCCCATATTGTTAAAGGATTCCAGTCAGTTAATAATACCCAAACTCTTATATCGAACTTTTATTAGGATTAAAAATAAAAATGAATATAAATAAAAATATTATTAAAAAAATAAGTATAAAGATAAATATGAATATAGATTTGAAAAAAATTATAAAAAAAATATGAATATAAATAAAAATATGAATATAGGTAAATAATATTCTAAATATAAATGTAATAATAAAAATCAATAAAAAACTATAATATATATATATATATATATATATATTTATATATTTATATATTAGTATATTTTTATTTTAAAATTTTCATATATTTTTATATTTTATATTTATATATTTTTATATTTTACTTTTCTTTTTTTAACAATTAATGGATTTTCTATATATTTTTAAATTATCCATTATGATTCCTTTGATTTCATATGGTCTAGAATTTCTATTAAATTATTATAACAAGTAATACCTCTTCCTCTTGACAAGCCTGCTGGTTTGATTATCCATATATTATCTTCTCCATTTATACAGTATTATGGGTATTTTTATTAATATTTTTTTAATAATTGATGAACTTTTAATGTAAACGAATCCATTTTTGCCTCCTCTTCTTCTGAATTTTATTATTCATCCTCTGAGTTACGTTCATCTTTTAACGATTTTTGTTTTTCTAATTTTTTTTATTTTTTAATTTTCTTTTTTTTCTTTCCTTCAATTTTCTAAAGCCATTATTCATGTTTTTTTTATGCAAGTTTTTCTTCATTTAACTCATCACTGGAAAGAATATTCCATTCTTTTTTAGAAACAAATTTAAAAGGCGATTTCTCGTCAATAGTATCATTGAAACCTTTAATTTTTCTTTCACAAACATTGAATGCAATAACTGCTTATTTTTATATATTTTATAGATCCATTTCACAAAAATACATTCTCATATATTTTTTCAATATACTTTCAGCCTTAATATATATATATAAAATATATTATAATTGGGTTAAATAAAAATTTATTGTATACATATATATAAATATTTCTAAATTTTATTAATATGTATTACTTTTGATGTTTTAAATTCTATTTAAAAATTATAAAAATCATCAACATCATTTAAATCATAACATCTAGGATAAAAAGTATCAATATCAACGTTATCATGCCAGACAAGATTTCTAATATTTTTACAAAGACCTACTTTAGTTGTGAAGCATGTACTTTTTTAGAAATGATTTACGATTTAAAAATCTTTTAAAGTTTCGAAATCTATTTCTTTGGTAAATAAACACCATTTAAAATCATAACATTAACTTTTGTTATCTGGATTTTCTATCCATCCCCTTTTTCTTAAACTTTTTTTTATATCTCCATAACCTCCTGTTACAATAAAAACCTATATATAAAATAAATATTAAATAAATTTTATGTGTTAAAATAAAATAAATTTTTAGTAAAAAAAATTTTATTTATAATTTTTATAAAAAAAATAAACATTAAAGATATAAATTATGTATAAATATATATATATATATATATATATATATATATATACATATTTATTTTAATGCTTACTTTTGTTTCTTTAGTAAGTCTTTATTTTTTTTCCAAAGTTCTAAATCATTAATATTCGAATATTTTCTTAATTTTTTTTTTATATTTAATTTTATAAATTTGAATCATAATTTAAATTATTTTAAATTTCTTATCTATCTTCATTAGAATCATCTTCACTGTTTTAACTATCATTTTATTATTTAAAATTTTGTAATTAATTACTGTAATAATTTTCATCATTTTTATTATTTTATGTAAATTTATTTTGTTCAAATATTTTTGGGAATTTATCTTGTTATTTTTTCAGATTTTCATTATTTTATGATTATAGTTTTTCTTTAGATATTAATTTATAAAAATATTAAATATAAATTTATAAATAAATTATATATAAATTAAATATTAATATAAAATTTAACATTTTTTTAATTATAATATAATTTTACAAATATTTTTTTCTTTTTTCTTCTTTTTTTCAGGAATTTCAATAAAAAATTCTCCATTTTCTATTTCTTTTTTAATATTTATTAATACATAGTCTTTCATTTTCTCTTTAAGTTATTCTTTCTTTTTTTTATTTTCTTCTTCTTTAATTTTCTCTTATTATTATTTTTCATATAATTTATCAATAAAAATTTAATTTTTTAATTAAATTCTTTTTAATTTTTCTTTCATTAATTTGATTTTTTCTTATTTTTATTCCATTGCTAAATATAAATAAAAAATATACTTTTGAAAATTTATAAATATAATTTATTTATAATATTTTAAATATATTACTGTTTTTTTTTAAAAATTATCAAATTAAAAAAAGGCAAAAAAAATATATTATGCCTTATTATTTGTATATAAAATTAAAAAAAGAATTAATAATAATATATTTATTAATAATTTATATATTTATATATTTATATATATATATATAAATATTATTTATATATATATATATATTTTTCATATATATTTATATTTACTTTCTTTCGATTAAGATCTTTATTATTTTTTTTTTATTTTTTCATTTTCATTTTTTTTTATTTTAAATAATTCTGTATCCTAATACAATTTTGAGTTAACATTTTCATATTCTCCTTTTAATTTATTAAATATTTTTTCGTCTTTATTTTTTTATTAAATTTAATCCATTTTTTTTTTCTCTAAATTTTCTTTTAAAGAATTTAAAAAGCTATTATATCTAGATTGGAAATATTTTTTTATTTATTAATTTTATTTTTTCTCATCATTTATTTATTTTTCGAATTATTCTAATTCTCTTAATTATTTTTCTGATAATTAATCTCTACTAATTTTTTTTATTCGACAATTAATTAATATAATTTCTAAATACTTTTATTATTATTCTAATTTTTCATTATATTTTGATTATAAGCGCATTCTAAAATATATTTTTTTTAAGATTTTTCATCATTATTATTTCTATTCATACTTTTACTAAATGTATTACTTTTTTTACTACTTCTAATTATTTCTTTTATTTCACCTATAGTATTATTATTTGTTTTCTTTTCTGATTGTTTTTCATTATTTTTGTTCATCATTTATTATTTTAAATCGTTTAATTTTGAAACTTCTTCAAGTATTTTTTATCTTAATTTTTCCTCTTTTTTTTTCATTTTTTTTTCTTTTTTTTATTTTTCATCTTCTTCTTTTTTTTTTTTTTCTTTTAATTTTTCTAAAGCTTACTATTTTTAGTTTTTTTTTTAACAAAAAAAATTGAATTTTTCTTTTTTTTTTTTACAATGTTTTTTTGTTAATAATTTTCATTTTTTATAAGTGAAGAAGAACATCTTTTTTTAGTGTTTTCTTATTCTTAACAATCAGATTATATATTAATCTTTTAAGGTTAAAAACTTTTTCTTACATTAATTGATAAATCAGATTAATATTGTTTTTAACTACCTAGGTTACCTAATTCATATTCTGATGTAAATGAACTATATTATGGTAATTAGTTATTAGTATTAATTTTTTATATACAATGGTCATTTGTTTACTCTTAAAACATTTTTTTTTTAAGTTCTTAAAATTTTTATTTTTATAATAATATATTTAAAAATCATAATATTAAATAATAACAACATAAGTAATTAATATTTATATATATATATATATATATAAATATAATATATATATATATATATATATATATATATATATATATATGATATTGATTTAATAATTATTTAAATTAATAAAAATTTTAAAAATAAAATAGAAATTTATCAACATATTTTTTTTTTTTTCGATTTCCATTTTGCTTTCTATTTAATCTATTTAATTTTATAAGCTATTATATATTCTAAAACTTTCAAAATTTAAACTTTATATTTATATATTTTTATATATATTTAATAATTATGTATTTGTATTATCATTTAATAATTTTATTTCTTATTTTTAATAATACTCTGTTGGTTATTTTTAAATTTTTTCTTTTTAATTAATAACCTAATAAATTTATATTAGAAGTATATTCCAATATTTTTATCTAAATAAAACATATTTTCTATTTAGACTAATTTTTAAAAAATTTAAAATATTTATAATTTTTTTTAAATAAAAATAAATAAAGTAATATATCAATTAGAAATATTATAAAATTGAAACATAATAATTTTTTTTAAAAAAACAATTATTATATTTTTATTAAAAAAAAATTATAAAATAATATAATTTATATTTTTAAAAAAATAAAAATAAATATATATATTTAATTAAAAATGAAAGAATTAATGTTTTATTTTAATTATTTTATTATGATATATAATTAATAATTTATTTAATAAAAAATTAATAAATAAATATTTTAAATAATTATTAATTTTTTTGGCAAAATAGCATCATTTTTAAACAAAAAAATATTTATATAATATTACTAAAATATTTTTTTTTTTTAAAAAAAAAATATTTTTTAAATTTATTATAAATATTTTTTAGGGTATAAATTTAAAATT